TTCAGAAACTGAACAGACAACTGAAATACAAAACAGAACGTTTTCATACTGGCTATTTGCCCATAAAAATACAGAACCCTGTCCTGCCATATATGCAGACCACAGGACAGAGGGCCAAGATGTACCCTTTTCAATGTGAGGCTAGATATACTGCTGCTTAAGTTTTCAGATGGCTTATAAGGAAGATATGATGTTTCTTTATTTCTAAATTATTGATCCAACTCTATCAACACTTTAAATGTGTTTTGAATAATCAAGAGGAAAGCTGGATAAAGTAGCTCATTTTTTCCTGATCGTTGTTACCTGTTAAAAAATATACTGTGGCAGACTTTGGATATGTAAGTTAAATTTTATGTATAAAATTAAAGCAGAATAGAATTAAAGAGAGATAATGTGCTTTATCTTTTACATATATTTCTATATGCTCTGACATAATCAGCTAATTGTCTTGTAATAAACCAAATATTTTTCTGTGTCTCTGCGAGGAAGGGCCCTGAGTAAATCAGCAGGCGGTAGCCACCTTTCTCTGTAATTCCTCCCCTGCAACTTCCTTCACTTATTGCATATTTGGCTGCCTTTATTTAAGGTCAGCTCTGATATGGTGCAACTGCGTAACCTTGGATGAGACTTCGGTGAAAACAGCTAAATTGTGAGAAAGAGATATGAGAAGCTGAAATAGCTAAACTGTGAGAAAGAGCTGAACGAAGCCTCGTCCAGGACATCCACCTCGCACACTTGGCTCAAAGGGGCTGCATTTATGCTCAGGCTTCTGCCATTGGTCCTTGCCTGAACGAGTACATTGCTGATCCAGACCTGGCCTTGCTAGCTTGTCCTCTGAGCCACCTGAGCCACCTCGCCAGGGGCTACCCGGTGATCCCAGGAGTCTCAGCCACTGTGGGAATGTGCCCTTGCTGGAGGGGTCCCCTGTCACCCCCCAGGCTCCCAGCTCACCGTCCCTTGCAGAGCAGCCAACCGCTGCTGCTCCGTGACAGGTTGTCTGCCATTTCTTCCTGCAAATATCTGTGTTACTAGTGTCTCAAAACCATTCCTCCACTTTTTATTAAGAATAAATGCAAATTCCAGAAGCTTTTTATGTAGGTCTGGCAATCAAGTTAGGCTGAATAAATTAGTCAGAATCTTCTTATTGCCACAGAGAAGGTTTGCAGCAAGTTGTTCGTCTCAGTCTCTCTGAAATTGAAAGCTCCATTTGAAAGAAGAGGTGGAGTTTACTTCAGTAGTGTTTCCAAGGGTAGGTATAATCAGAACACTGACAACTACTAATTTGATAGCAAATTTCAGTTGCCTTCTAAAAAGCATTTATGAATCTGCTGGTAAACTTACCAAATCTTTGGTATCTGAAGTTTCTTCTATGTTAATTTAAGCATTTCAGTAAAGGCAGACAAGCTTTCTAATCAGTTTAAGACAGCTACCATCGTACATGACACTTTATAACACAATCCTGGGAAGTCTAACTCAAATTTATTGAGGTTTACACAGTGTACCTGTACTAAACATTCTAGATCATCTCATCTGTTTAAACTAAGCTGCAAGTCAGTCTTAAAAAATACTCAAGTGCTTTATAGCTTGTTGTCAACAAGTTATTACATTTCATTAGAAGTAATAACAACCATATGCAATACATTTTTTTCCAAAGCTGAAATGAAAGTCATCACTGCTGAAAGATCAAAATCAGTCCCATCTGATGCATTTACAAGACACTTTGCTTCTTTGCTTTTAAGTTCATATGTAAAGTGTTCGTGCTCTGAGGGTTATGGAGAGTCTGTTAGAGTCTTGTTTATTCTTTAGCCACAAGAACGTGAGTAAATATTAGACATACCACAAAGCTCAATTCTGCAGTAGAACGAGATGAGAGAAATGTTTGTAAGATTGGGAATCATGAGCTACTTGCTACTGTCTGGTTGGGGCTAAATCATTTTGCTGTCTCTTTCTTCCTCTATTTAAAATGCAGGCAATAAAATTTGTATTCATCTGGATGGCATGTTAATATTTTACAGTATTTTGACTTTGTAAAGCACTCTGGGAATGTGAAGTATTATTGCAGGCTGTACCAATGCAGGCTGTATCACAGTTTACAATACCACTGCTTCAAACATTTTACTTCTTTACAGTTCTAAGATGTGAAATGAGTAGAAAAGCACAGTCATCTTCCACCTAGCCAGTACTTTTGAAGCATGACACCTATCCAGTAATATATTGGGAAGATATACAAATAGGATGAGACTTGGGGAGCTAAATGTATAATTTTGGATAGTACAGATACTGTCATCAGAATGAGTTTTTCAGTTGCCTCTGAAGAAGCAGCTAATGCAATACTGAAAACACTGGACAGAATATGTTGAATTCATAAAACATCATAGAACTCTTTTATTTTTTTCTTCTTCTTCTTCTTCTTCTTCTTCTTCTTCTTTTAATTTTCCATAGCAACACACTGCATAATCTAACAATAAATAGATTACCTGGGGTTTATATTTGAGTATTTAGCTCAATGGCTTTCTGAAGAGAAAATTTCAGAAAGAGTAATGTTTTATTCTGTCCCAAATAACTCTTTTCCTACTTCTGTATGATTATCAGCTGTTTTCATATTCCTAATGCTCCTCTCAGATGCAGTCTTTCCAGGAACAAATTTCTCTTGCAGCACAGAGGTCACAGATTATCACAGAATTGCAGAGTAGTTGATGTTGGAAGGAGCCTCTATAGATTGTGTAGTCGAACCCTCCTGCTCAGAGCAGGGTCAACTAGAGCACATCATTCATCACTTGAGACGAACATCATCACTTTTTACCTAATTCATGGCTGATCTTGAGATCCATCTGATTAGGAGGAATAAATCTTAAAGTTCTTCCTCTCATCTACCAAAACTATAGGGGCTGATTTTTGGACTGCATCGAGATTACTTTTTGTAAGCTCTGGTTTTAAAAGTCATTGAGCAATTATCCCTGTTAATTATTAGACTCATTCAAATGATAGTTAGATGGGAAGTGTAATTACTGTTCAGATATTAGAATGCCTCCAGATACGTTGTCAGATGGTGTTTAGTAACATAGCTGGTCCTTACCATCTTGATTACATGCTTTAGAAATATAATTTATAGCAAGAGCACCTCAGTGTAACATGGTGAAATATTAATGTCTCTGCTCCTGAAATTCCAAACCCATAAAATAGTTTTAAGGCTTATCTTAAGACTGAAGCTTAACTGTCAGCAAGAATCATCTTAAATATATTCTGTATTTACAAAATATAGTTAGTAGTCAGCATTTGGTGATAGTTAATATTAGTTCTCATACTAAAGTATTAGCATGACTCATAGTATTTAGTATTACCTTACACAAGAGAATAATATAATTCCTAGGAAAACACTTAAGTTCATTTCAGATTCCAGAAAATATGGTACTTCCAGTAAAAGAAGCTGCGAAGGTCAGAACACACAAGTCTTCTTAAACGGTACCTGTTAATTGTGTATACCTGCTTCCAAAGAATAGCTTGACATAAAAAAGCTCAGACTGAAAGCAAGCAGGTCATAATTACTAATTAATTACTTTGACTGATTGCTATTTAATTATTATCTAAGCTACAAATAAAAAAGTTGAAAACTGCTTGAGAGATTCTGCAAATTCTTTCATGAAGCTGCAGGGAATCATAAAGAGCATATGACTTGCTAAATAGCCAAAATTAAAGACTCAAAATCTGTGGATAGCTATGCCTAATTCTTTATACCCTTTTCTGCGTTTGTCCCATACGGGAAAAAAAGTCAGTATACATGTCTCTTGAAAGAAACAGTTAAAACAGTCTCTACTGTAGAGCTCATGCCTGCAAACAAAAGGTAGCAGATTAAAGTTTCTTTTGTGTGTAAACATATTCCCAAATTTCATAAAATCTCTAAAGCTATGTCATATATCACATAGCCATAGCGTCTCTGGGCAACCTGTTCCAATTCTTAATTACCCTTGTGAATTTTTCATACTTTACAGACAAAATTTCCCTTGCTGCAACTAGTGACTGCTGCTTTGTGCCTTTTGCTGTGCACCTCTAAGAAAAGTTTGGCTGTATCTTTTCCCCAGTCCTATTTTAGCTAGGTGAAGGCTTAACCTTCTCCTCTCCAGGCTGTCTCCATCTCCAGATGTGACTTTGCAAACGCCAGATAGAGGAGGAGAATTAATTCTTTTGACTTTCTTGGCTGTCGTCTTCTATCATTTCAGACCTGTGTCTGGCAGATGTAGGCTCTGCGTGAGTTGGAATTAACTATCGGTGTTTAGAAAAGGAAGAATGCTTTGTTTTTCAGCTGCTGAGGCCTTTTTTGTAGCTTACTGGTGTGATAAAATTTGAAAACAATTTTGCTACCATTTACCTGGAGTCCAGCAGATGGTGCTAGAGAATGACGGCTTTCAATGAGCTGCGCCTAGCTACTCGAACAGCTGCTCTTTCCTCTGTAATATTAATGAGCCCATGTATTTTGGCGGATTTGGCAATTTGGCAGAGAAAATGGAGAGAGGAGCTAGAGGGGAATCTGCTCTTCTGCACCTATTCCCAGAAGAGGGAATATGAGGAGTAGCATTTAAAAGACACAAATGTCAGAGGGATGTAAACTGCCTATGATTTCATGATTTCTTCGGCTAGACAAATTCTGAACGAACCAAACCAAAACAAAATTGCCTTAAAAAAAAATCTCTGTACACACATTCTAGTTCAAAATACACATATGTATCTAAAGCCAGCACTCAGAATACTGTTCTGTTAAAATCAGTGGGGAACCGTCGATTATTATCTATTGTTACAAAATTAATATGTATATTAGTCTTAACATCTATTGTAACATTAACATTCACCATGTCATCCTATCTAGGGACAAAGGGTCCTTGACTTCAAATTGTGAATGACTGGAAGGGTGAGAATGTTGCATTAGAGAAGAGGCATGAAGGAGACCTTTTGTTTTTTCATTTATTATATTACTAAAGATCCTTAATAGAAACTGATTGGGATGATTTATAGCTATCAGTATGGTTGTAACTGCACCAATGCCAAATTGTTATATTTTGCTTAGGCTGTAAAAACATTCATTAGATTACAAATTTGTAATTTTAATTTCTAGTTCTTATGGTTACACATACTGAAGTTGAGTATGTAACAAGTGTATGCCAGGTCCACCAGGGCTGGCCACCAATCTCCTGCTTTAGCCTGTGACAGTTGTTCCTTCTAGTTTAAACAGACACTTGAATGCAGTGATTCCTTTATCACTCTTCAGCATTTTTTAATTTAAATGGGTTAGACTGTTCATACCTCTACGAATGAAAGAACTCTAGCCTCTAGAAAAATTAACCCATAGACTGTAGGAAGATTTGATTACCTCTTTTGCATACAGTATTTGGTTACCCTTTGACAGATTACCTAGTAAACTGGATGATCTGGAATTAAAACATTTTCTTCTATTGATTCTGTATTGATTATATCAACATTTTCACAAGTTTTATTCTAACAAGTTACAAATATGGTCAGAGTACTAGATGTACCTGAGGTTACATTATACAGAATACTTCCATCAAATTGTTCCGCAGCAAACAGAACATAGTATTTCTTTTAAGGCACAGCTTTTGAAGAACGTAAAATATTTGTGTTAACATTAATAATTATATCTGTAAAGTAAAAGTTACAGAATATCAGTACTGTTTTAAAAACATATTACAAAATACTCATTATATTTCCCAGTCAACTTTTAGATACATTGGATAAGTATTTCTATATTGTAAAGTGTTAGAAGCTATATTTTCAAAAAGGCTCAGTGGCCTTGGCTTCCTGTTTTGCAATAAAGCTTTGGTTTTCACATGCTTTGCACCTTGGAAAATACAAGCATAATTGCCACTCATTACAGATTAGTGCAAATTTGAAAATGTCAGTTTACAATTTTTGTACAAGTGAAATAAGAGTTTAGGAAAGAACAGGATACAGAAATTGTTAATATCTTTTTCTACATACCTTTATAGACACAGAGCTCACTGGTAAGTTTTCAGAAAACATAATAAATTCAAATGCAATTTTTGTCTTTTATATCTCATATCTAAAACTTTACAAAAATTACCATCGTAGCTTTCCGGACTGGCTTTTGTCCCTTGAATTAAAGTGTTAAAAAACCTTATTTGAAGTGTAGATGGTAAATATGAACATACGTATATGTTCATACGAATATGAACACAATTTTAGCTTTAACTACAGAATACTTTTGAAATTCACAGAGGTCAGAGACTTTTTCTGACATCAATACGCTTTGTATGAATTTTATACAATTTTAAGGAGTGGTTTTATCAACTTGTTTCCTGGAGGGCATGTTCTGTAATTTAGTCAGGTGATCACATCATTACCAGAAATAAATATATGATTGTAATATGTTAGTGTATCAATTAATGGAATTTTACCTGAGATCCAATTGAATTTATTCCTTGTGCAGCACAATAGTTCTAATGGAATATATGCTGCACTCAGTATCTGTTTTTTTCTGCTGACGTTGCTGACCACTTAACAGATCCAGAAGTCATGAGTATTATTTAGGGAAAAGTCAAAAGCTTTCTTCTGTTCACTCAGTATTGAAATCAGCAAAATGATTTTCACTATCTGGAGAACACAACTGTGAATCTAGCAGTGAAACTCTGCATGGTTATTGGGAAAAAAACAAACTTTTTTTAAGGACTCACAACCCTTTGAGGTTTTGTCTACTCTAGATGAATTGCCTTACTGCCATGTGCATTGGTGTGATTGATTGACATTAGGATTCCTATTTAAGGTATGCGTTTTAAAAGAGGAAAATGTTTACAATGTGGAAAACTAACTGTGCTTTATATTTCATATCTATGTGTGATACACTCTTGTATCTCTGTTTCTGAGATATGCCTGTGTATTTTTTCTCTTCAGGAAGAACTCAGCTACTTAAAACAATAATAGTGCAGATACGATGCCAATAGACTGCTTAGTTTGCTTTCCCAACTTAGCCACTTCTCTTCCTATTGTATAGAACAGAACTAAAGGATGTTACTCTCATAAAATGGAATATTGTGACTCAAGATGGTACAGAAAAGTTTTAAAAAAGGCAAAATGGAGATTAGTTCTACATGATCTCAATCTTCCTTTTTTTCTGTTAGCCTATTATAGGAGTTGTATGGACACTTAGGCAACTGAAAGGTAGACAAATTACTTTTCCTGCAAATATGACACCCTGAAGTAAAAATTTTTCTCCCCATCAGGTTCTGTGTCTTCCGGCTTGCGTATATCTAGTGAGTCCTCATTCACATGCAGATAGTAACTTGTGTCTTTGTAGCACTGGAACTTCACTGAATCTCCTTGGTAATGCATGATGAAAAAGTGATTGTCTTCCCTCAGCTATGAAATAGGCAAAACAAAGAACATGTCATTTTTTAAAGCATTTCTATAGAAATTCATATATGAAGAAAATTCAGAGATGCTGTGAGCTTGTTATATTCTGAGTGCTTTTCTCTAGTGGTACAGATTTACCAATGTATATGATAAATCTTTGGGGAACACCTAATCATCTGGCAACAGATGACTGTAAACGAAAAACATATCTGTCCCCCTCAAAAGACTGGATATTTCCAGACACATAGCTGCGTTCCCTTTCTTTGCAAAAAGACTAGCACAGTTTCCTCTCATTGGGACCACTTATGTTTTTATCTTGTTATTTTTTTACCACATATTCCCTGCTAGCTACCTTTGGCCAAAAATGTCAAGCCACAGTTTCTGTTAAGCTAAGGTAATGTCCTTGCCTAATTTATAGTAACACTAGAATGTTACAGTGTCGATTACTCTTTAACAACTGTTCTATTACATACATTTTTCTGTATATCTCAGGTTTCCAATTTTTTTTTAGGGTTCATCTTTTGAAGAATGGCTGTTGTTGTAACAGCCGTCTCTGTGAGCGTGCGTGAATGGGCTCTGCAGGTACCTCTGGGTGTGGATGGAGAAACAGTTAGCAGAAAACAGCTGGCCGAAGAGAGAGGAGGAGTACGTCCTGAGAGGCAGCATCTCAAAGTCTCCCACGAGCTCAGGCTGGTCTTAAAGCAAGAGTCAGTAAGCTGAGGGCACGAAGGAGCTGCCGTCCTCTGCCCAGAGCTTCCAGCACCCACCAACACCAACACGGGGTGGGTGGGTAACCCACCGCGCATCCAAGAAGGCCGTGGCTGCTCTCCGGGGACCAAGGCCAGAGGATAACGTGTGTGCAGCCGATGCAGCGGCGGGTGGGTATGGCCCTCTGCCTCTGAGTAACCGGCTGCCCCACTGCTGCTCCGGCAGCCTAACCGTGAGCGAGTGTGAGCGAATGACTGAACGTGCTATGGGAATAGCTATTCGGATATTCATAATAAGAGCTGAATTAATAAAAGCTGTGTTCTATGTCTCAGCCAACTCCAACCCCTATCAGGGGGCAGGAAATTTACAATATCTTTTGGAGAAGATTGAGACGGTGAATGAATACATCATAACTAAATTCTTTCCTCTTTTGTGAGTGATCTGTTTGAACACTCTAATCCTACTTGCAAGATGGCTCTGTATATCTGACCAGTCTGGTGACATATCATTGCACACAATTCTTAAGTGAAACTCTAAATTGAAACTGAATGCTTGGGAAAAATCTAAAAGGCTCAAGAAAAGCCTCAGCAGGAGAATATTAAAGGGACCCCACCATGCCGGCTGTTACAGCACTGGCAATAAGTCCCTTTTCATAAGAGGAGGAGTGTGTCACTTCAGTCCATAGTACAATAGGTGACAGAGAGCGAGAGCACATGAAGTGAAACTTAAGGATAGATGTCCTCTTTAACAAGACTATAATGGGAATCAGCTAAAACATTTTGTGCTGATGCAGCTGCTGCAACAGCATAATGTATTGCAGCTTTGATCTGAAATCTGGGTTTAGAAATAATTATTAAGAAAGTTGAAGCTAATTTGTCTTTAGGAAAGGAACACCTTCTAGGGACCCAATAAGGTAATAAGGAGACACAACTGTGGTAAAAGAATCAGATGAATTCAGAAAAAAGAAAAGAACTGTAGAAGCAAGGAGAGGCGTGAGTATGGAGTTAGTCCCCTAGAGCCCCAGAGATGCCAAGGGGACCTGGTAAATGTGAAGCTCAAATTAGGTGCTTGTAAAAGCAGATTTAGATGCAAAAATTAAAATAGCTGCTGTATCTACATGACATGACGCAGCATTAGATTGGGAGCTATCAGAGGAATTGGATGATGATAGTGTGCGAATAGAAGAGGAGCTGGGAATAGCAGCATATCCAACCACTGCTAGGACTGCCATCTCAGAGCAGAGAGACGCAGCAGATCATTGTTCTGAGGGAAAAAATAAGGAGGATTTAGAACAAGGTATTTTGCAAGACATCACAAACCAAAATATTCTCCATTATAGCCTGTTAAGAATGCTGATGGAAAAATCTGGAGCATGATGGTGGACTACTGCCAGAAAAAGTTCATCTTGAGGACAGCTTTTGTGGCAGCAGACATGCCTGAGGTCACTGGTAAGTTATAAGGAAATAATAGTTTTTCGTTATAGATCTGACTGTTTCTTTGCCGTTACATTAAATGAAGAACTAATTAGCAGGTTTGCTTTCATAGTTAGTGACAAAAAGTATGCATTTACTCACGTCTCACAGAGGTTTCACAACAAACTTTTAATAGCACAGGCTCATGTTAGAAAAACGCTAACATTGTTGTCTCCACAGGGTAAAATTAGTCTCTTATGTGAATGGCATTCTAGGGGTCAGAGCTGCAGAGGGAAAGATTTGAGGGAGAAATATCCAAGTTTTAAAATAAATAGACCCAACAGGATTTAAAGTTATTATGAATAAGGCACAACTAAGGCAAGCCCAGACTAAGTTTAACTGCTGCAGTCTAAACCAGAAAGCAGCTAAAAGATTAGGAATAGATATCAGGGCCAGCTGAAAGGGAACGAATCATTGTACACCAACATGATATATTAAACAAAGGAGTACAGGACACTGTAAAATATACATGTGGCCCCAAATGAAGCAAGAAATTGAGCACATAGTTAAAAACTGCATGAGGCATACAATGATGCAAAAGCAAGCTAGTAAAACTGAGCCACCACCAGAATTGCATCAGAGAAGCTGTGGACCTTGGCAAATAGGCCGGACAGATTATATAGATCAACTGCCATGAACTAAAGAAGGATATCAGTATTTCCTTGTCACCAAAGGTATCTTTTCAGGTTAGGCTAGAGCACTGTTGACTTCAGTAATTTTCTTTTAAGCAAATGTCGAGAAGGCTTTTAGAAGGGTATCAACCAAAGAAGCGAAGAGAAAGGGAAGTTTGAAACTTAAGGGACACTGAGTGCTATCAGCACTTGAGTAAATAAAAGCTGAGAGAACTGGAGGTTGAGGATATGTATGCAAAGATCTGGGAGGGGGTAACATGTGAATAATAAAACATTATGACTGAACCAGAAGAGAAGTAGCATTGAAGGGAAACAGTAGGATAAGTAATGGAGCAGATTAGTATACTTGTCTGATAACCAGTCTTCACTCATTAAATTCAGCATTTCTTGAAGAGTAAAAAACAAATGGTAAAGATTTATACATAATAAATGAAAATGGTAAAATGAGAATGGTACAAGTCTATTACATATATGTAACAAATGAGAATGTAGGCAACTCGATGTAATTCCCCCTACTGCTATTTCTTCTCTCCACAATGCCTCCTCCTATCTATTTTGCTGCTTGCATCCCAAGGATCCAGGACTCAGCTCTGATCCTACACAGCTATATAATCCTGGGCCAGCCTTCTGAGAAAATTGCTAAGTCATGAAATAGCTTGAAAAAATATAGGGAAGGTGTAAAGCTGGAGGAGTCTAGCTCAGACCGTTGGGTCAGATAAAGCCATTAGTTTCAACAGGAAATGTTAAATGAAACTGGCCTAAACATCATAACCAGATGTTTTTCTCAGAAGCGACCTTGGATAGCGTTATTCATGCGCTCAGGCTTCATCAAGTGACAAAGTTTGTAAATGTAATGTTACTTGTGCTAAAAGAGACCATATTGTCTAACAGGACATTTAGCCTCCCCACTGCTGCTCCAGCTGTGTAACTGTGAGTAAGGGAATGACTGAACATGCTATGGGAATAGCTATTCAGCTTTTAAATATGTGGTGTTTTAATAAATACTGGTTGTAATCTCTGTCCTGTGCCAACTCAATCCTCTGTCATAAGAAGCTCCTATTATAAGCTGTTATTTGTTTTTATAAACTGTTATTATTTTATTGTAATAACAACAGCTTAATTAATAAAGGATGTTTATTGGTTAATAAATATTGGTTTTTAACTGTGTCTCCTTCCAATTTTATTAGGAAAACAGAAATTCAAAACACTACATATAACTTCCCGCTGAGATAACAGCAGGCCTCACAGATGTCTCATATCTATGGCAATACTGGCAGTCTTTCAATGAAAAAGGAAAACGTCTGTCTTTAAATATTTTTTTTAAAAGCTAGCAGACCAAATATCACATTGTAATACCACGTAGCTTTCAGTCATGAGAGGTATAGCCCCATCTTACTCAACTACTCCTGCATTTTCTCATCCTCTGGACAATGGGGGCTTAATTCTTCCAACAAATAGTTATTTTCTCATCAGCCTACTCATTTCAGAAGGTTCATAAGAATCTCATGATTCGCATTTGACTATGATTTTTGCGTCTGCTGAATGTGGCTCAAGTGCAGACTGCTGATTCCTCTTCACACAAATCAGGAACATTTATATTTTTCTACCTGAAATTATCAGCAAGAAACCATGATAGGTTGCTCTTTATCTTTGGGTGCATAATAAATAAGTTCTCAGAATTAATTCTTCATTTTAATTATCTGTTTAGAAATCCAAAGTGATGAATAGGTCTCTCTAGGTAAGCGTAGTAGTTCTTCTGTCCAGCTGTTCCCTAAAACTTGGAGCCATCACAACAACAATTCTTTTCCTATGAAGAGTACGACAGAAAAAGGTATAGCTTTTTCTTTAAAAAAAAGGTAATATATTTTTAAGAATGCTGTGTGACTGTGATAATACATATCAATCATTCAAAGAAGGGACTAGAAGTTATCTTACAAGTTTTCGAGCCTCATTATTTCTCCATCTATACAGAGCTAAGGAATTTTTGTGGCAAGAACTTGACCTGAAGAACCCATTGGGATTTCCCAGTCCTGATAAGCAGATTTTCTCATTTATTATTCATAAACAATTTTTGAATAGTATTGCAGCTGTTACCTTTGAAAGATTATTTCAAAAAGACTTCAGAGAGGAAACGTCCAGTAATCTCAAACTAACAGAATTCCCTTTTGATTTAGGAGATATGTTAGAAATATTAAGCTGCGAACTACAGGCTTTTCAACTTTTCAGTTTTGATTTTATGAAGTTCTGCATCTGATCCCAGACAACTTTAATTCTGCTTCTTGAAATTGGAAAGACTTGTCTTTTTAATCTCCCTGACTAGTAAGTCAGGTAGAGCATGACCCTACAAAAATGGTTATTAGCTACATTTTCTTAGTTTTTAATTTCCTCTAGCTTAGAACATCTATTTAAAAATAAATTATAATAAAACTAAACTATTTTTCTTTCTATGTTCACAGCATTTTATTATTTCTATCTAGAGAATAGACAATAAAATCAAGCTTCCATCACAAAAAATGTGTTAAGAAAGCACCCGACTACCTGTATTCCTATACACTCTTGATTTACAGTCTTCTACAGAAGATACAGAATTCACTCTGAAAATGCTTCAGGGATAGCTTATTTTTAATTTCTTATTTATATTGAGTGTTTAGCACTTCCTCTTTTGTGTTTTTATTACCTCCCAGAAGTTCTGATATTTGATTGATTGATTTACTATTCATAAACACATTACATACTCTTCTAAATTGACCCTTTAAGAGCTGCTAATATACTCACACAGATTTGCTAGATCTTATCTAAGAACTTGTACTAGGGCAAAACTTCTGTGTATCTCCCTGATTTTATACAAGAACAACACTGTGGGAAAGAACTCTTTGTCATTTGAGTTTTAACTTAAGCTCAGATATTTTGCCTGTAGACTGGAAGATGTGTTCACATACAGAAGTCAAGTCAAAAGTAAAGACAAATTGTCCATTCCTTATTTTCTGTTTTCTCAGGAAAATACTAAAAATCAGCGAAAATAGGAACATAAACAGTCATTTAATGAGCAACAGCAGGACATTAAGGTCCACCTCTTTTTACACATAAGCCTGCATATACACTTTCTCATGCATGCAAATTTTTATTTGGCTGATCGTGATTACATACCTGTTCAAAGTCTGGATTTTCATGCTTGCATGTTTTCATGTTGCATCTTTTCAGTGTAGGGTAATCTGGCTCTGAACAGCATGCTTTTAAGACCTGTGTTTACAACCACCCAGATTGGTAATTTTGTCTTCATATTTTGGTCTGTTTTAAACCACCATATGTAAAATTAATTCTAAGGAAAACGCTCATTTTTTAATAAATCTCATAAATGATTAAATTCAAATTATCCAAAATGACTAGTTTGTTAAGTTCCCAAAACACTTCTGTGAGTACATGCCTTTCTTACCATTTGAAATGCAAAATGAACGGGGTTGAAAACAAATACCGGAGAGTTCTTCAAACTAATTAAAGCCCAGATTCTGTTTTGCAGTGCAGGCAAGGTTGAACTGTGTCGTAACAGAATGCCCCAAACTGCATTGTAGACAAGGAGCCTTGTCTTCTTCCATATGAGAATTCTTGTTGAGATTAAAAAAACTATCCATATTTGGCTGGAAAAGTGTGTTTCATGAGACTTCCAAGAGTTTTAAGTATTTGGGAGACACTGACTATGTTTTACCTCATTTTCAGATAAAAGCTATTTTTAATCATATCAAGGAACATAACAGTACAATCTAGAACTTTAAAAAAGGTAATTGAAAAGTAAAATCTATCAGGGCTCAACACAATTCTTTCTCTGATTCTGTAGTACACCTTTCAAACAACTAATTTATGAAAAGTTAATCTCTGAACTAGTTAAGTCCTGTACAAATAGTAGCTCTTGCAAGGAGACAAGGGAAAATTTCAGTGAGATAATATGTTGCAATCATAAATAATGAGTTTATTATTTATCCCTAGATAATTTCAGGAAATGAATTTTATGGAAAGTCACCTACAAAATTAAATGGAAAACATCGAAGATTAGATATGAGAAAGCATTTGATGATTTACATCATCATACACAGCCAAGGTTGGATTATGGGTCATTCTTTATCCCATATAACCTGTGTAAACAGAGCTTCTTAGACCTTTGCCCAATTTTAGAGGGTAAACACCAGCTTCTTGAGACAGGTTTCAGTAAAGGTTTTAACCTACACTAGGGAAACTTAACCTTGCCTACTCTTTTTACCATGAACAAACCTTCACAAGACTGGCAAAAATGAAAATGTTCCAGCAACAGATGGCAAATGTTTAAAGCAGGTTACTAAATTCAGCTGTAATTTCTTTTCATCATAAATATTCCTTTCATCCACCTTGTAATTCAGGTGTATTATGAGAAAATAATTCCTCTCTTAATCTCACCTGTCTCCCAGGCAACATTCTTGCTTCCTCCTCCTTTTATCTCCTGCATGTTTTCGAGGGAGGAAGCTCCCTCTCCTTCCACAGAAAATGAACCCCAACTTGTCTTCCAATGACAGTAGTCATCTACCAAACCCAATGCTTTTTGCAATAACCCATTCTAAATATTTCCTCAGATAGCACACGAGGAGGTAGTCAGAAGCTGTGCAATGTGGAAGGAGAAAGAAAGGAAAAACAGAGAAGAAGAAAGGAAAACAAATTTGAGAAAGGACTGTGGGGAAAATTGTTCTCTAGAGAGAAAGAGGACCCACAAGTTATAAAGAAAATGAACTACTTCTTACCTTTAGACAGAGCTGCTTTTCACCCTTGCACAATAGGACAAATTCATTAAGCTTTGATCTCTGCATGAGGATCACCAAATTTTTAGCACCTGTTTTAACAAGAGGAGAATTTTGTAATAAAATGCCTATCAGTTTTTAAAGTTAAGCATAAGTAAAGAAATATTTTGTAAAGAGACAATATTCAGGTTTACTTTATATTGATAGGCATAGAAAGAGAAATAAATATCAGCACTGTTGATACAACACTCTTCTGTAAAGTATTGAAAGATCTATGACTTTATGAAGCTTTAAATTCACCATATATTCACTTTATTCATTTATATATGTATATGAAAATACGTATATGAATTGAGCATGAATTAGAAATGAAAACATCATAGGAACTACAAGGACATATATATTTATTACATATTACTATTTATATATTATTCACAGAATCACAGAATCATTTAGGTTGGAAGGGACCTCTGGAGATCATCTAGTCCAACCTCCCTGCTCAAGCAGGGAGCACGTTGCCCAGGATCACATCCAGACGGGTTTTGAATATCTCCAGCGAAGGAGACTCCACCACCTCTCTGGGAAACCTGTGCCAGTGCTCTGTCGCCCTCACAGTGAGGAAGTTTTTTCTCAGGTTTAGGTGGAACTTCCTGTGGTTCAGTTTCTGCCCGTTGCCGCTTGTCCTGTTGCTGGGCACCACGGAGAAGAGACTGGCCTCATCCTCTCGACACTCCCCCTTCAGATTCTTGTACACGTTGATGAGATCGCCTCTCAATCTTCCCTTCTCCAGGCTGAACAGGCCCAGCTCTTGCAGTCTTTCTTCA